TATAAACCTTTATAGCAATTTTTTTTCATTTGATTCTTGAATATATCTGCTTTAAAAAGTCGTTGCGTTATAAATGTTTAGTTCTTGTATAATTTTATATTAAGCTGACGAGGTTTGTTTCTAATAAAAAGTACCTTCAATGCGGAAAGTTTCGAAAATTTAAATTATTATAATTTACTTTATTTTATTTGCGTAGAAAACGATGTTAACATTTTTTTGAATTAAAATGTTCAGAAGCTTTAGAATTATTAGACAAAAGTTAAACAATAAATTATATTTTGATGTTTTTATAGGAAATTTCTTTTTGATCTTTTTAGAAAAAAAGTCTTACTATTTCATTAGAATCATAATACTCATTTATAAGTAATCCATATTATCTTTATATATATATAATACAAATGAGTATTAATTTCATTAATACTCATTTATAAGTAATCCATATTATCTTTATATATATATATATATATATATATATATATATATATATATATATATATATATATATATATATATATATATATATATATATATATATATATACATATATATATATATATATATATATATACATATATATATAAATATATATATATATATATATATATATATATATATATATATATATATATATATTTTATTTTGCCGTGTTAATATATACAAACTGTATCTTAATAACAAAGATATATATGTAGCAGGGGCGAGAATAATACTAATATGTCTTATCGCCAAGCCCCTTGATAAATTCCGTAAATATAAAGTTTGATTTAAAAATAAGCATTTCCGTTGACAACATAAAATAAACAAACATAAAACTGCTAAAGTGATAAATAAAACATATTATTAAGGAGCATAAAATTAAAAGTAAAAAGAACAACAACGCATATTAAAACAACAAAAACATAAATAAATTTGAAAAATCAAAAGTGCATTCAACTCAAGCGTTTTTAATATTAATATACTCCTCATTTAATTGATAGATCAATCATAAGGATATTTTGCTTTTTAGAAATATTTTTGTGGATCATTTTTTAGTAATAACTGTCTAAGTTTGGCCTTAAACACTTTTAACAATGTAAGAGTTTTAAGTTCAGATGTTAGTATTTTATTCCATACCTTTGGTCTTCTAATTGAAATTGAAAACTCAGTTGCCGCACAATAACTTATGGGTTGTATGTAGGTGTTACTTGAATCTCTAGTTAAGTATTTATTCTGATTAGTTTTGAATAAGAGATCAAAAGTTTTTGGAATAATACTTTTGTTAATTTTGAACATAAAAATTAGAAGATGATAAATATTTTTTTGGTAGATATTTAGTATATTTAACTTAGTAAATAAAAAATGGGAGGGTGTACTGCCGTTTTTATTAGATATAGTTCTGATTGCATGTTTTTGCATATTAAAGAGTTTTTTTGATTTATTTTTATTGGTACTACACCATGCAATATTAGCGTAATTAAAATAGGAATGAATAAAAGAAAAATATAGGAGTTTTAAACAACTTGAATTCAAAAAAGGTTTTGTCCTATAGAGTAGGCCAATAGTACTTGATATTTTACCTTCAATATATTTTATATGATTTCTCCATTTACATTTTCGTCGAAGAGTACTCCTAGAAATTTTGATGATACCTCTCTTTTATTTTGCTATTGTTAATACAAAGACTTGGAAGTTTTAATGGAAGTTTGTCTCGTTCATGATAGCAATGAAAAAAAGTATATTTTGTTTTATTTAAATTTAGAGATAATTGGTTTGCTTTAAACCATTCAGCAAGGTATAGTAGTTCTGTGTTTACAGTTTTAAATAACATTTTTATATCATTGTGAGCATAAAATAGATTTGTGTCATCTGCAAACAAGATTGTGTCTAATACATTACAAGATTTGCTTAGATCATTGATATATACTAGAAATATGAGCGGTCCTTGTGGTAATCTACAAGATATATTTATGTTGTTAGTTTTTCCGTAATTATGAGAAATATATTGCTGTCTATTTGACAGATAGCTTTTAAACTATTTAAGGTTCGATTGTTTAATACCGTAGTTTTTTAATTTGGTTAATAAAATATGATGATTTATAGTGTCAAAAGCCTTGCTGAGATCAATAAATACGCCTAAAGTATGTTTATTTTCATTAAAAGACTTATGAATATCATGAACAAGATGAACAATTGCCTGATCAGTATAGTGACCTTTTTTGAATCCAAATTGTTTATTATAAAGAATATTATTAATATCTAAGAAAAAGTACAGTCTTTTAAAAATAATATGTTCTAATATTTTTAAAAAGCTAGGTAGTATTAAAATAGGTCTATAATTTGCAATACATGTTGCATCTCCAGATTTTAGAACCGGCATCACCCTTGCAACCTTTAGTTTTTCAGGAAAGATTCCTTGTTCTAATGAAAGACTGAAAATGTGCAAAAGCGGAGTTTTTAAATAAAATATTGATTTAATTATTATATTGCTACTTATATCATCAACTCCATTACCTTTATTTGGTTTTAATAAATTTACAGCATCAAGTCGTTCTTTTTCAGATAACTTATTATTTTCCATATGATTGTTATTAGAGGTTAAGTATGATTCAAAGCTAGTTTTACTATTTTTTATATTAGAGGCAAAACTCGGGCCCGTATTACCAAACGCATGATTGAAAGAATTAGCAATTAAAAAATCATTAGTAATTTCACAATTTTTGATAATGAGATTTTTGAGAAATCCATTAGTGCTAGGGGCTTTTTTTACTTATCAGCTCTTTCATTATATGTTTCATTATATATATATATATATATATATATATATATATATATATATATATATATATATATATATATATATATATATATATATATATATATATATATATATATATATATATATATATATATATATATATATATATATATATATATATATATATATATATATATATATATGTATATATATATATATATATATATATATATATATATATATATACAGGGCCGGCGCGAGTAGGTGTCACGTGGGGGGTGCCATTACAACTTTTGCCGACTAAAAAAAAAAAAAAAAGAAAAAAAAAAAGCCGACTGTCATGACGACTTTGCCGACTGTCATGACGACATTTGCCGACTGTCTAACCTATATCGAAAGGAGGTCCACATTTGCCGACTAACTAGGTCCAATTTGCCGACTAAGGGTCCAATTTGCCGACTAAGGGTACAGTTTGCCGACTAAAAATCATTGATTGGGGGGTGTCACACCCCCCCACACCCCCCTATCGCGCCGGCCTTGTATATATATATATAAAATCTAAATAAAACCTAAAATTGTTTTATACTAGCATTAAGTTTGAAACTAATTTCAAGTATTGATATTTACAATTTTTTCTCTACTAAACGAAGGTGTACTTAAAAAAATATACAATAGGTGTGAATGCAATATGTATATAACAAACAAAAAAAATAAAATTAATATAATAATTAAAATTATTAAAATAAAATAATATAAATAAATATAAATTATTTAAATTATTTTTAGCTTAATAAAATATTAACAATAAATATAATAACTACCACCAGCAAAATGAAGTAAATTTATAAACTAACATTAGCAAAATAAAATAATATAAATAATAATAATAATTGATATTAGCAAAATAAAGTAATATAAATACAAGTAATAACTAACATTAGCCAAACAAAATAAGTTCTAATCTATCCAGTCTCAAATATTGTTAACCCAAAGATTTTGTGTATGATATTAAAGTAATAAAGTTTATTTAAGTTGAGCTGATATTGCATGGAAACTAAAATTAATTCAGTTACATTGTCTTCATCGTTTATCGCAACATGTTTTTAAAAACTTTCAATTAATATTAAAACAAAAATTTTATTATATATAAAAACAATGTGTTTTATGTTTTATATATATGCAAAATTGAAGTTTTTTTATCAATTTTTTTAATAACATTTTTTTTGTATGTAAAGGTGAGTTTTCACTCATCCGTTTTTTTACTGGAACAGGAAAGGGACGGGAAAAAGAATCAAGTGGGCATGCGTAGTATAAGTTTTAATATGTCCGAAGAAAAACTACTCATGCTCACGTGATTATTTTTCCCTTTCCTTTCCCGTGTCCGTGAAAAAACGGATGAGTGGAAACTCACCTTTAAATCAATAATAATATGTCCCAGCAAATATCGTTTCAGTGGATTTTATGTTATATATATTTGCGAAATTTAACTATTTTTTTTTTTAATTTTTGAAACCAATAATAATATTTCCCAAAACACATTGTTTTAGTGGATTTGCAATAGATCTATTGAGTTACTTTTTATCAACTTATTAGAGTTTTGCTCATTGGTTACTTGGTGGACCATCAGTAGCAGATGCTAAAATTACCAAACATTCCGACATATGATTAGCGGCTAAAGATCAGCTAAGCACTTTTGACAGCTGCCACTAATGGTCCACTAATTACCCAATGAGTAAAACTACAGTGTTCCGCTCAAAGCACCTATATAGATCCTTTGAAATTCTGCTTTAGAATGTTAGCTGGGTTACTTAGAAATAATTTTTTTGTTTATGATCATTTTTTCGAACCAAGTTATATCAGTTTTGTATAACACAACATGCGCCATCCCTTTTTAAAATATTGCTTTATCCAGTTTTGATATACCTTACTCTTTGCCTACTTTTAACTATAATTCTCTCCTTGAACGATCAGCATCAGTAATCAGATATTTTATTTTTAGCTATGTATTTTTGTTAAAAACTTTTTTTTAATTAATTTGTTTTATTTTACATGTTTCTTTTTTTGTTTTTTTTTTATGATGATTATATACATACAATTTATTACATATTATGTAAATTGTTCTGATGATAAGATCAACTCAATCTTTTCTTATAAACGTTGTTTGTAATTGTAATTCATTTGAATAAATCATGTTTGTATTTACTATCACAACTAATGTAAACTAAAAAAATATTTACTTAGAGATTTTTAAAACGTCTTACTGAGTAAGACGTTTTTGAAAAGAAAAATAGATTGAACAATAAATCGAAAAAGTTTTTCCATTTATTATTCAATTCACTAATATTATTTCTGATAAATCAAAACTAATTACAATAGAAAGTCGTTTAAATTAAAGTTTTACGTCTTCTAGAAAATCTTGAAGAATGCTAAAAACTAACCTATGAAGTTGTTTTATAGAGTAAGGTATTTCTTTCAGAATTTATTTTTAAATTAGTTTATTTTTCTTAATGTTTTTAATGTTTTAACATAGCTCAAGCGATGTTAAAACATTATTACTGTAATGTTAGACTTTTTACGATAATGGGACTGCATTCCTTTCAACTTTATTTAAAAACGAAAGAATTTTAATTTTTTAACATTCTGATAAATCCGCAAGGACTTTTAATTTTTCGAAGATCTTTTTGATAAGACCGTTAAGACATCTTGGGGCACCTTAATAAAAAATACAAATATTTAAAAAAAGAAAGAAAAGAATTTATGGGTTTCAAAATGCAAAAAAAAAAAAAAAAAAATGAAAGAAAACATTTAACATTTTTGTATTTTTAACCTGGTTCTTCTTAGTCTATTTTAATCTTAAATCTTTAATAAGAGTGCGAATCAAATGAATGCAATTATTGAATTCGTTTGACTCTTCTGGTTCATTTTCAGTTTAAATAAGTTTAAAACAATTTTATCCCAAATTAGCTTTTTTTCTTAGCGGTTCTTATGACAGAACAATTTTTTATTAATATAATCTAATTTAATTCATTTGATATTAATATATATACTTTTTAACAACATCTTTATTTGTTTTTTGTTTCTTGTTTATATTTGTATATATATATATATATATATATATATATATATATATATATATATATATATATATATATATATATATATATATATATATATATAAATAGCGATCATCAGATGTTACAAATCTCAAAAATAACGACAAAAAAGTATATATTAAAAATAACGTGAAGTGTCCACTTTGATGCCATTAAAGTTAATCATCATGTATTTATTTTCATGTAAAGTAAAGGCCGTCGGGATGAAATTATATGATATTTTCCATCAAGCATAAATTGCACGACTTACCACCAGGTTTAAACGGTTCAACCTGGTCTAGAACTTTCCACGAAAGAATAGGATTTAATCCTTTCTTTTTAACACTCCACACAAATTTAGAAAGTTCAGTAGAGTATGACCCACTTTCATAACAAAAGGAATTTTTATGCTTGTAAAAGCGATCTTTAAATTCTGTCGGTAATTGCACGTTGGAGCACTAAGGTTTGAAAAATTTGATAAAGTTTTATTTTTATGTAAAGTGATGATGTTGCGAATATTTGGAAGACAGCTATAGCTAACCTTTAGATTGTTTCGGTTAAACAGTTTATGGAATTTATGAGATTTCGGGAAGTTTTAATCGATTAAATTTAAGAAAAGTTTGGCTACGTTTGTCTTGACATTAATTGAAAACGTAGGGTTAAACCAAATAATATTTCGTGCACGTGATTTTGCAACTTTCATAGAGTCGGTTGCCACGGCAACCGTGTATAATAATTACTAAAAACTCACTTAAAAGTTATAAGACCACAAGGAAAAAAAACTCACTTAAAAGTGACAAATAAAACTAAAACTTACGTGAAAAAACACTTAAAACTTACGTTACTTAAGACCAGAAAGAGTATTTTACCAATAACCCTCATTGCCGATTAACCAACCCAGTTAAGCCTGAGCTAGGACTAGTTGGCAAATCTTTTCTAGACAACATTAACAAGAAAGTAAGAAATTCTACGCTTGTCCATCAATGGCATAGAACAAATGGCGTTTTAAAATGGTTCCATGACATCAATGACAAAAAAAAAAGTGTTTTTGTTCAATATAATATTGTTTAATTTTTATCCTTCCCTTTTTAAACAGCTTCTTCACGATTCTTTGGTTCACGCCAAAAATTTACTTAAATTTCAGATAAGACAACTGATATTATTTAACATTCAAGAAAATCCTTGTTTTTTACAAGAAATGATATGTGGGTTAAAAAATCAGGAGATTTCGATTTTAACGTGACAATTGGAAGCTTTGATGGAGCTGAGTTGTGTAAACTGGTAGGCCTTTTTAATTTATATATCATCAGGAAAGAATACGGATTAAGAACTAACGGTTTATATAGTGATGACGGGCTTTGCTGTTTCAATGATATTAGTAGACCGCAATCGGAAATATTAAAGAAAAACCTTATCATTCTTTTTAAAGAAAAATTCGAACTAAAAATAACAATAAAATCTAATTTAAAAACTGTTAACTTTCTTGACGTTTCGCTCAACTTGTCTGACGATTCTTATCAGTCATATAGGAAAGTAAGTGACATCCCAATATATCAATGTTCGAATAATTCTCCTAATATTCTTAAAGCTATTCACTCAATGATATCTAACCGTGTAAGAATTAAGTAATTATTCAAGTAACGAAGTCTTTAATCGAGCCGCTACTTTTTACAATAGTGCTCTTAAGTCTAGTGGATTTAAAGAAAATTGCAAAATCACGTGCACGAAATATTATTTGGTTTAAACCTCCGTTTTCAATTAATGTCAAGACAAACGTAGCCAAACTTTTCTTAAATTTAATCAATAAAAACTTCCCAAAATTTCATAAATTCAATAAACTGTTTCACCGAAAAATCTGATGGTTAGCTATAGCTGTCTTCCAAATATTGACAACATCATCACATCACATACAATAAAATTTTATCAAATTCTTCAAACCTTAATGCTGCAACGTGCAATTGCCGACAGATTAATTTATGTCTAATTAACGGAAAATGTATAATTAAATATGTTATCTATTTATGTAATGTTAAGACAAACCTGGAAGATGAAGGTAGCTATTATATTGGGTTTACAGAAAAAACTTTTAAAGATCGCTATTACAAGCAAAAAAATTCCTTTTGTTATAAAAGTGGATACAATTACAATTTAAAACTCTGGATATAAATATAAATTCAAAATTTAAAGACATTACAGAGAAATATTCACAGACAAATAGAATTGTTATAAACCAATAAAAATTATAATACAATTTATTATACCGTCATAGCAAAAAAAAAATAATAAAAAAAAGTTAGATAGATAAATTTATATTATAATGAACAGTTTGTTTATTTAAAGATGGATTTTCCCATTTAATATGGAATTCCTCATTAATTTTTAATTTGCTTTTGTTAGGAGCAGTATCCAAAATTTTAAAACAATTACAGTTACTTAGTTTTTTTCAATCATTTAGATGAAATTGAATGCTTATAAAGATTGTTTGTCACATGTAAGATGCTCATAAATCCTTGTTGTAAAGTGTCTGGAGGTTTTTCCAATATAACTGGCATATTTTAACAGCTATATTTAAAAAATTCTTCATAATGCGGTTTAATTTGAATGTTAGTGATTGCCTCTTTTCGATATACTTTGTACTCATATTTTCATAGTGTGTTATTTGTATTGTTTATATCAAGAAAGTTAAGCGTTTTTGTTACGTTTACAACTTCAATTGTGTATTGTATTGCAGGATGTTGTTGATTTAAAATATCTAGGAACTGTTTTGCTTGTATAACAACTATGTATTTAAAATATGCATATACTGAGAAAAGCAAACTAAAAGTTAATCTAGCCAAACTAAAAGTGAGAGCGCAATATTATTAGGCGAATCGGTCTAACTATTTAGTCAGAAACCATCGAACGCAATATTTATAAGTTTTATTATGAAATCAAAAATTTATAGCAAAAATCAAACCATTTTTAGTACAGGTCACTATGTTTCAAAAAAACTATTCGTGTACACATACGTGTTACAAGCAAACTTTTTGTTGATATGAGATCCGTGTATGAAAAGGATTTGAAAAGTTACAGGTGTCACTTAATATTTATGGTTTGTGTCACGTGGTATGACGTAATAGGCCCTAAAGCCGAAAAAATTTTAATCCTTATTTTAAAAATATTTTATACCATTAGAAAGAGCATTAAATAATCTTTCAAAATCATTTAAAAACATATATTGAAAGTTTTTACTTCATAAGATATTGTAGGTTATGTAAGTTACCAAACCGAGGGTCATTTACAAAAATTACCACTAGATAAAAGATAAATTAAGTAAAACTGAAATAATTGAGCTAGTATATATATTAATATTGGTATTGTATAAACATATAAATAATATCGTATGTAAATCAAAGAAGTATTTACAATCATAATGTTTAATGAAAAGAAAAAAGGACCCTCGTAAAATATTTAATTAACTGTATAAAGTCAATTAACCTTGCAATATAAACTTTTTTTATTCTTATATTTGCCGTACATATAACATTTCCAAGTTTCGTAAATTAAAGGTGTAACATTTACAAGTCAAAATATATAGTGAAAATTGTAATTAAATAGTACGGGCTGGACTTCGTGAAGATCGTAATGATCTTATCACAAAGCCCTTACAATGTGTTTGATATATATTATGATTATGTTGAATATAACTTTATATTAAGTAAAACTATATTTTTACAGTCTTTAAATTAAATTAAACTCATAATAAAAAATAAACTTAAAATAAGCTCAGTATAAAAAATTAAACATAACAAGCAGCTTAATAACTAAAATTAATAACAAAAAATCAAGTTTTTTTTTTTTTGTGTGTAATAAATAATTTTTGATATAATGTTTGAGAAAGGTAAGAGTCACTTAGATAATACACATAAACGAGTCAGTTCACTTGTAGTTGATATATATGTAATTTTCTTTGTTGATTTGAATGAAATAAAGTGTATTTTGTTTTTTCTGTTTAGTGATAACTTATTTGTTTTAAACCATGTATTTAATTTTCGGAGTTCTATGTTTACATTACCATACAGATCCTTGATGTTTGTCGAAAATAAATTTGTATCGTCTGCAAACATTATAAATTCAAGTTCGCTAAAAACGTTTGGAAGGTTGTTTATATAGATTAGGAACAAAAGAGAAGCAAGAATCGAACCCTGGGGAACACCCCAATTTAATTTTAATAATTTAGTGTGGTAATTATCATCTTTAATAACACACTGTTGTCTGTTATACAGGTAACTTTTAAACCATTGTAGCGTATGGTTTTTTAATCCGTATTTTTTCAACTTTTTTAGTAGGACTTCATGATCTATTGCGTTGAACGCTTTTGACAAGT